TAGCAGCAGAGACGTGCTTGAATCTGTGGCTTGAACTGATTGGGAACACACGCTTTGTAGATTAGGAGAATTCAGGGGAGTAGTGAAGCTTTTGAAAGGCTTGTGGACCTGTGGATGACAGCTCAGGTTGTGCAGACCCGTGGATAAGAAGCAGGCAGGAAGAGCTCTTTCTTTTTAGTATTTTGTATCTTTTTTTAATTGGCTATAGTTGATTTACAGTATTATATTAGTTTCATGTGTACAGCATAGTGATTCAATACTTTTATAGCTTACTCTCCATTTAAAGTTATTAAAATAATGGCTGTACTTCCCTGTGCTGTACAGTATATCATTGTTGCTTTTTTATTTTATACATAATAGTTTGTACCTCTTAATCCCCTACCTCTATCTTGCTCCTCCCCACTTCCCTTTCCCCACTAGTAATCAGTAGTTTGTTTTCTATATCTGTGAGTCTGTTTCTATTTTGCCACGTATATTTCTTTTATTTTTTAGATTCCACATAAAAGTGATAACTTAGAGTATTTGTCTTTCTCTGTCTGATTTATTTCACTAAACATAATATGTTCTAGGTCCATCCACATTCTCGCAAATGGCAGAAATTCATTTTTTTATGGCTGAGTAAAATTCCTTTATATAGATTGCATATGTATATAAGTATAAATATATATAAATACATATAAATATATATATATATTTGTGGTGTGTATATATATATACACCACATAGGAAGAGGGTTTATTTGAGGTATACTGCAGTGCATTTTGTAGTGATTTTTCTGGGTTCAAATACCATTTCATGCATTCTTTTGTGAATACAGAAATCCCGATCTTTGAATGAAGATGTCTTTTAAATCCTGGTTTACCTTAGTGCTAACTCTCAGCCTCCTGTATTATGTGTATGTTACACCTGCTCCTGAGAAAAATGGGTTAGTTTTTATTTGGCCAAACCTGGCAGATGAGGCTGTTGTTAGAGGATGCTTGCAGTGGGAAAATGTTGGGGGTCTTAATTGGTTGGCTAAGGCTTTTTTAGTTAGGGCAAGTGACACCGTCTGCTATAACAAACAAGCCCAAATTTCAGTGAAAAATGCTCCTCTCTCACAGCTCCATTCAGTGGAGAAGTGATGGAGTTGGGGGGTGGTCAGGGCATTCGACTTAATGGTTCCGTCATCCTGTTGGGCTTTGTGTTTCTCTACTGGCTCCTCCGGTGGGTGATGCGTAGATGGATAAAGAGGGTACGTGAGGTTTTAGAGGAGGTTTTAGAGGCCAGGTGTGGAAGTGGTGGGATATGTGTCTGCCCACATTCCAGTGGCCAGAACTCAAGGCTCAGGGCCCCACCTAACTTCAGGAGGGCTGACCGAGGAGAGTGAGGTGACACATGGTTCTGCTGGGTGCTCATTCGGGCCACAAGCTGAAGGACAGGAGAGGGCAGAGCAGTGAAGGTGGTGGGGTACAAGGGTGATGGTGAAGGATGCCAACCTTTACACGTTAGTGTCTTACAAACCAACCATGCCCTAAATGCTTTTCTCAGGGCGAAATGCCTCTTGCTCTTCCGCACCCCACATCATGCTAGCACATCCAAGACGTTACCATTTTTCAGACTGTCTAGGATGGTGTTTTATCTGGACTTGTCAGGAATTCCACTTGGTCTGCCTGCCTGAATCCCATCCCCACAGGAATTTGTCCTGATGGGGACAGTTGTCAAATTGATTTTTAAGAGCCTTTGGAAAGTCTTTTGTGCCTGGAAAGAAACACTTAGAGTTGTGTTTTAAGTCATATTTAATTTACTAAAGTTATACATTTACAACCCTAGTGTTTGTAGGACTTTAAATTGAACTTGAATATCATTTTTATTTACTTATAAAACTCATAGCTTTAGCAAAAACGTGAATAATCTCTTTCACTTTGACCAGTGTTGATTTAATGCACAAATTAACAGATTAAGTCGCTCTTAGTACAGAGACCCCCATACCATGTGAGTTTAAGATGGTGCCACTGGGGGTCAATGAGGGACACTGTGGGTGTCTCCAAG